CCTTATTTATCTCTTCCTCTGTATGCTTTAGATTCTCCACTATTCACAAATGTATGTGTTTTAGGGAGTCCTGTGGGACTCCCAGTTTGCTGCTTGAGTAAATTAATCAAAGTTGAGGAAAGGGCTGTAGGAACCCTGATTTATAGCTGGTCAACCAGATCACAGGTGAGACAACTTAGGTGGCATTTTTGAAGTGATGCTGTCACACAATGTCAAATTGTGCAGCGCTAAATTGAATTAGAGGATATTTTCCTGGTGCCTTCTGCAGCACTGACTGTGTTCTTGTAGTATGAAGACTTCTTCCACACCTTTTGAGGTCACTGAAGTCTTCCGTATTGACTGTTGTATGAAAGCAGGGGGAAAGATCTGCTTTTGTGCATCAGTATGCTCTGGTGCCAATATGAATGCTGTCCTGATAAGACAAAGTCAGACATACAAACTCAAAGTGGAGAAGTCCACGTGGAAACAGAGGCAGAAGAGGGAGGAATGTAGCCACCAGCTGAAGAATACCAGTGACTGTACACAACCAATCAAAGCTAGAAGAGGCAAGGAAGAGTCCTCCCCTAGATTCCTTGGAGAGCACTGTGATTTCAGAATTCCAGCCTCCAGACCTTGAGAGAAACGATTTCTGTTACTGTGAGCCATCCAGCTTGTGGTTATTCATTGTGGCAGCCTGGAAAATTAAACCCATCTTGTGTCATCTGATCATCTCTCCGTTGTATAGAACCATCATTTGTCATATTCTAGGCCTTCAGTTGTTTTCTACTGTGAGCTATATTCTCCCCAGGGGATAGGTGCTTCACAGGGCTGACACCATTTTGCTGGTTGGAGGGTCCACTTATTTTGCATGTTACCCCATGGTTGGTGATTTCCTTCTCCATCTTGTATTTATCCAAGTGACTTTTCTCAACATAAAATATGTCCAAGACACAATTTTTTCCTATCTTTGTAAGAAAGAAAATGTTCTTATATAAAGGGTATGGAATTATACATATTAGCTTTAAAAAATCTTGGAGAAAATGTAAAAGCTTTATTCATGTCATAAATACTCTGAGTCTAAGGAGAGTTTTTGTGGAATCTAAGAAAGGTCATAGTTTAAGGAGATTAATAAATTAAAACAAAGTCAACATTGAGTCATGTTTACAAGCTCTTTCATTAAATTTGTAGGAATGTGAATCAAGGTATATTTAAAATGATAGATGGTATATTTAAAATGATAGTTCATTAAGTAATCCATTGTTGCTTGGTATGAAAGGCAACTACTTTATTCATTTCCTCTGTGCATAGGAAAATTGTAACTAAGTCCTCATATTATATGTGGCAGCACCTTACTCAAAGGGCCTTTCCTTACTTGTCCACTGTTCTGAAATTCTGCTTATGGCTGGTAAAAAATTGGCTTATGGCTGGTAAATAAAAATCCATGCTTATCTTTTTAGTGCATCCTTATCATTTTATCTTTTTTCATATTTCCTCATCATTTGATACTATATGCAGTTGTAGAAAGAATGAAGTGGGGGAAATACCCCCAGAAACTGCAGGATTTCTCTGAGGCTCAGAAAGACAATAGGCTGTTCAGAGAAGTAATAGGGGATTCTTACATGGTGGGGATTAGTTGGTGGGGTTGAGCTAAAAGCAAAGCATCTGGCTTATGAAAATTTCTGCTGTCGCTGCTGGCGCTAGTCAGCATTATGCAGTGCCTTGATCATGAGGGACTTTACGATCTGTCTTAAGCTATTTGTGCACTAACAATAAGTCTAACTGTTCATTCCATGATTTCTACTATTTGTGGAGAAAAAGAGTAAATGGTGCCTGAAAAAAATCTTTACATAAAGAGATGTTAAAATAAGGAGACTGGATGTTTAGAGCAAACAAGCAGAAATGTAAAAGAATACCGAGAGATGCAATAAATCCAAATGGTTTCAAAACAAGAAGGAAAAAATGGTTAAGGCGAAACTCAACTGAAGGATGCCAATAAATAAGTAAATTTCTCATTCAGGATCTATTTGCAGTCTGTATTTCTTGGCAGAGTTACTGCTTATTATTTTCATGTTTCTAGTTTCCCATCTCCTTTTGTCAGTCTATTGAAAGCTTGTTAAAATCTTATTTGCTTTTCCTCTTTCTGTTGTTGTTTTTGCCTTAACTTTAGTATTAAATCATAAGGAAGGAGGAAAAAGGGAGCAAAAAGAATCAACGTATAGTCACTGCAGTGCTTCAGTTTTATGGTTACTTTACATGTTGATCAGCTTATGGCTTATTCAGACTTGATGGGAGACAATTGGGAAATAAGGAAGAGTCTCTCCCTTAAATAGTAAACTGCAATACTGATGCAAAATATAGAGGAGAGACTGAATAGAACAAAAATTACCTGTCTATATGTAGGAATACTCCAAAACATAATTGCTACACTGATGCAAAAATCACACACATGCATGTACACAAACACACACACATTTCTTTGCTGTGTAGAGTCCTTGACACATAGTAGACCTCCAATAAATACCTGATGGTGAAAGAATATATGTAGTTGTATATAGATATATGTATATATATATATATATAGATATAGATATATATATAGACGTATATAAATTGATGATATCATGTACTGTATATCAACCAAACCAATTAAGAATTATACTGAGGTTCTTATGGTCACAAAATCTGCATTGCATGGAGTCAAACAAAGGACCATGTGAATGAAAACTCCATGACCTGTGCCACAGTAACATTTAGAGGACACTAGCAGCATATGTGATCTTGGGCAAATACCATAACCTCTGTGAGCTTCCATGTGTCCTACTGAAACAGAATTATACCTCAGGACATGGTTTTGAGAGCGACGAGTAATACTGTGCATCCCTCATCATAACTGAGTCATATTCCTTATGGATAATAAGGAAGGGACCTGGCATATACCAACATCACTGGCAATGGTGACATGTTTGAAGGAACTGTTGCACTAATTGCTTTCTTTTCTACTCTCAGTTGCTCTAAAGCTGTCTCGATTCTCAGCCTCTTCCACAGAATTTCCGCGATTATATTTGCTCTTGGTAGTTTTTCATAACCTGATCGCATAGGAGTTATATCATAGAGGACCATTATTACTTAATATCTGTTTATTCTCTTCCAATAACTACTATGCCAGGTCCAGATTTCAACCCCACTGGACTCTCATGTTGTAATAGGAACTGAGACACTGCAGTGAAGAATGCCTGGCCATTTTAGTACCATGTGTGGGATCTTAATAGACTAACAGTGCCTTGCATATGGTGTGACTATATTAAATATTTATCTTGATTTGAATTCTGTTTTACTTTTTCTTGCTATATACACCTTCTAGCAGGAGTAAAGACAGATTCTTATACCTGGTGTTTTTGTTGTTCTTTTCTTACCTTTTCAAATCTGAGCATAGACTTCTACAAACCAAATCAAGAGAGCGACTCATTTTGGTGCCTACATAAAAATCCTCACCACATCTCACGAGAACATCAAGAATATTGTATCACAATGAGAGCTATGCTATGGATTTTGATTTTTTATTTTTTCAGGAATATTTTATGATGCTTCTTTATAGGAGATGCTATGATGAATATTGCTCAGTCTTAATATTAAATTTCTATATTAAAACAAAGTGGAGTTGGGGCCAATATGCCCAGAGGAATGAGAAAAAGGAATCTAAAATATTAAGATTATCTCCATTTCCCCTCCTTCCTTCCATCCTTCCCTAAGCACCATCACTTTTCCCTCAAGTCTATTACACTGGTACTAAATATAATATTTTACCAGTGTGTGCTCTGTGTATCTGAAAATCAGGCAGTGGTGATCCTCTTGAGTGAGTTCCTTTCGTTTTTTATTAATGAAAAGGTTTTTATTTGTGCCCTCTGTTATTCCCAGAAGTACAGCACAAAACAAAATGGGAAACCATGATTTATCTTCTATTTGATAAAAACATCTGCAGAATAAAATGAGCCTCTCGATGCCGGAATTGTCATCAATGATGACTTTGACAAAATGAGCAATACATAATTTGCTAGCTCCCTTGCGAAGCTGAAACAGATTGTCAAATAAAACACTGGAGAAGATGCATATGGGCCAAGTAGACTGGCTTTGAATAGGGACACGTGCAGGTGGTGGCTTAGTAGTGGCTCTAAGGAGGAGGACTGCCCTAATTTGGAGGGTCATTTGCATTTGAAAATGTTCATTGCTAAATAGTGAGTATTCCCTATAGGAAAAGAATGTATCCTGCCAAAACTGAAGCTATTTTTTGTTCCTTGGTAACTTGAATAAACCAGAAAGCCCAAGGCAAAAGAGAGAGTGGGTGACACTCAAACAAACCATCCTTTAAGGGTGGCCTTATAGAATACAAATCAGTGATATATGAAAATGACACTCATGAAAATCAATTGCTTTATGGTTAAAAATGCATTCTCCATCAGCACAAAGCGTGGAAAATGTACTAATGGGTATACTTTATATACATTTTATGAAACAGCAATCAAATGCTTTTATTAATCTTTATATCTGAAGAACATGCCAAAATACTACATTATTATTTTAGATCTGAATTTCACAAGTCAGTCTTGATTGCCCAGATACACTCTCAAAAGTTCTATATTCTTAGGATTTGGGTCCTTTACCTAAGAAATCTTTCCATTATGGATATTTTTAAGTTCAACTTTTTAATCACAAGAAAGCAGCAATTGATATTTTTCTAAATTAGTTACATTATTTATTGAACCTTTTAATCTTGAAATTAATTTAGATTTATAGACAAAAGTCTTGATGATAGTACAGAAGATTTCCATACATTCCACAAGCAGTTTCTTCAGTCTGCAGCCTACAATAAGACAGCACATTCGTTGAAAAAAGGAATCCACACTGATGCATTTTTATGAACTGAAATCCATACTTTATTCATATTTTCTTAGCTTTTGCCAAAATGTACTATTTTTGCCCTAAGGTCCCACTCGGGACCCCACATCAGATTTAATCATCCGGCTTCCTCAGGTTTCTCTTGGCTGGCATTGCTTCTCTGGGGTTCCTGGTTTCCAGTGGCCTTCCTTTGAGGCATCCTGGTCAGTGTTTGGTAGGAAGCTCTAACTGGAGGTCATCTGATATTTTTCCTCGTAGTTCGACTGGCATTACGAGGTTTTAGGAAAGTCACAAAAGAGAAAGGTCATTCTCATCAGTGATTCTAACAGTACACGCCATGCATCTGACTTATATTGAGGTTAACTTAGTTCCCCAGTTCAGGCAATATTTGTCAGGCTTCTCCATAATCAAATTCTTCATTTTCTCTCTTTTCATTCACTGGTCTTTAGAAGAAAACCACTGAGTACAATCTGCATGCAAGGTGTAGGGGATTAACCTCCAGTTACTTGGGAGAGGAGTGTCTACATCAATCTATGTTAATTATTTAAAGACTTTCTCTGAGAGATTTGTCTTTTTTATTCCATTAATGTAATAATTTAATCATTCATTTATATCAATAGGGAATTAAGAACATATTTATATGTGGAATTATGACCCAGTGCTACCCATAAGTGTTCTACAGATAAAAGATCAATAGGATACATATCTCTATCTCAAACGCTATGTGTGTGTGTGTGCAAATACATATTCCTACAGTATGTACATGTGTGTGTGTGTGTATTGATGTAACCATATGTGTGTGTAAGATTGTGAAGTCTGGTAAATTCAAACTCCGCAGCGTATACCAGCTGTTTTGGGAACCAAGAGAGTTGACATTGCAGTTTGAACCCAAGGGCAGTCTGCTGGCAGAATTCCCATTTTCTTAAGGGAGGGAAACATTTTCTTTTCTATTAGGAACCTCAGCCCTTTGGATGGAGCCCCGTTACATTACAGAAGATAAATTGCTTTAGTCAAGTGTAATGGCTTAAATGTTAAGTTTGTATGAAAACTAGCCTGACAAGAAGGTCTAGAATAATGGTTCTAAGTGAAGAGTGACCAAATATCTGAATAGCAAGACCAAGACCAATGGACGTGTAAATTTACTACTCATGCTACCTTTTCTTCAAAGTTTTTTAGATTTAACTATAGGGAACTTTTTTAGAGGTTTAGAATGATGCTCTACCTGCACCCATCATCGTGGGTCTTTGCTTTTATTATGGCTTCTTGTTTGCTGAGAGTTCCACCACTATAAGAAACTCAGGCTCAGCCTGTACATTTGTCACAGTCCCAAACCAGCCCTTCTCAAAGCATCCTTCTTCCTTTTATTGCAGAGTGATATCAGATGTGGGTGCTAAGCATTCTTTTTGTTATGGGGTCATTATTTGTTTAGGTCCTCTTAGCTAACAATTCAAGATGATACACATATGCATTATCTTATGTAAATATGCATATCTATAAATAACCAAAAGATGACCTCATATCTCTGATATTTTGACTTATAAAGATACTCATCCTATGAGACCAAGGACTTACTCTTATGATTTCATCCCTAAGCACTTCATTAAGTATCTAACTTTTTTTTTTTGATGCTGGGGATTATTGAACTCAGGACTTGGCGCTTATCAGTCAGGCGCTGTGCTACTGAGCTACATCCTAGGCCCTTAAGTGTCTGACTTCTATATACAGATAAAGTGGTGATTAAGTCTTTAGCATATAAATTTAAGGGAACACAAGCATTCAATTCACAACATGTTTTTCTTATACCCAAATCAGTTATTTTACCATTTCTTGTAGGGTAGATTGACTGATGACAAACCCACTCAGTTTTTATTAGTCTGAGGAAATTTTTTTTTCATTAACTATTAAAGAATACTTTTTGCAAGATATGAATTTTAGGTTGGTAAGGAGGTGATGGTGTTTTCAATACTTTAAATATTTCATTCTACACTTGTCTTGCATGCATTTTCATAAAAGGTGTAATTGATTTTGATTTTCCTGTATAGGTAAAGTGTCCCCCTACCATGATTTTCCTCAAGATGTTTTGCTTTGCTTTATTTTCTTTTCTTTCTTCTTTCTTCCTTTTCTTTCTTTCCTTCTTTCTCCTCCCCCATTCACCTCTTTCTTTCTTATACCATGATTAAACCCGGAACATTTGCACTCAACCACATCTCCAACCCTTTTTAACTATTGTTTTATTTTATTTTTTATTTTACTCTGAAACAGGGTCTCAGTAAATTGCTAAATTGCCCAGCGTGGGCCTAAACTTGTGAACTTCCTCCTCAGCCTCCCAGAGTGCTGAGAGTACAGGAGTGTGCTACCATTCCTGGCTCTTTTAAGTTTTTCCGCAGTTTTAGTATGATAGTGAAAGTGTCGTACTTTGAGATATTTATGCCGTTTTCTGAGCTTCCTGGATGTGTGGTTCTCTATCCTTCATCAGTTTTAGAAAGTTCTCAGCTTTTATTACTTCACTCCTTTACTTTCTTCTATGCCAATTCAGGGGACAGAAATTCTATCATCTCGCTGCCCTTGGGCGTCTATTCTGCCTTATCTTTTTTTCCTCGCTATGTTTCAGTTTGGAAAGTTGCTAATGGCCTATCTTCAAGACTCCTAATTCTTTCCTCATCCTGTCCAGTCTAATCATAAACTAACTCCCTAGATAGCATCTTTTTTTTTT